AAGCTGATGGTGCCATATCTGGAAAATATGTTGGGTGGGGTAGAACTTTCCAACCCAACTCCATAATCTTGTGTTGCAACAAACGTGCCACATGTGGTCGCACATTGTAGTGGAGAAGAACAACATCTTTCCAATTGACGAGTGAAGGGCGTTTCTAATGAAGGGCTTGATTTAAACGTTCCAGTTGCTGACTATAGATCTCTGCATTGACAGTTAGCTGTGGATTGGGAAGTTCAAAATTAATTACTCCTTTGATGTCCCACCAAATGCAAAGCATCACTTTCTGCGGATGGAGTTCAGGTTTTGGTGTCGGAAGTGTTTTTGTCTAGGACTGAGCCATTGTTTTTGGCATTTAATATTTGCATCGAGAATCCATTTTTCATCACCGGTGACAATTCTGTCCAAAAATGGTTCACGCGCATTACGCGCTAGAAGAAACGAAGCAATGTTCACACACTGGAAATGATGATCATCACAGAGTTCGTGAGGCACCCAAACACCTTCTTTATAGCGTTTTTCCATATTCCTTAGATGTTTACGCATTGTTTCATGAGAGACATGCAACTTCAGGGCCATTTCACAAGTGTGTTGCCTTGGGTAAGACTCAACAAGCATCTTCAGAGCATCAATATCAATTCCAACATGTCGGACCCTGCCATCACCGTTTTTATGGCTAAAGTCACCTGAACGAAATTTGCCGAACCATCATTGACTCATACGAACATTCAAAACATTTCCATAAAATTCTTTGATATTCTTTGTGGCTACAGAGGCGTTGTTTCCCTTCTTGTATTCAAACAACCTTACATGCCGAATGTGTGTCTCCTCGTGTGCCATCACTATAAGAGATTAGAGTATACTAAACTTTACACATTATATAGGCTACACTAACGTGACGTTTAGGTGGTTCATTTAACTATTATACATAATGTACGTTTTTTGTGGGTGGTTAATGAAAGTGTTCCAAAACGTGACATTAATTTCTTGACGACCTAATAAATAACCTTTACAATAACTAACCTGGGATACAAGTAACTGGTGACTGGAAGAAACCCCTGGTTTGTCTAAGCGACTAGGAATTCGTATCTGAAAGACAAGGAAGCAAACGTTTATGCTAATTTATACTATGCAAAATTTTCTAGTCATAACAAAAGCAATTAGAAACACAACTTACACACACACACACACACACACACAAATCCATGGTTTATTTATAAGATTTTTGTAAGTAAGGTTCACTAATCAGGAGAATGTATTTCATAAAATTAATATAGGATCCAGGAGTAGGGAAAGATCAGGTTCACTAAATAAGACTATATTTCCCAAACTAATGAAACCAGGAGTAAGAAGAGATCAGGTTCATTAAAGAAGACTATATTTCCCAAACTAATGAAACCAGGAGTAAGAACAGATCAGGTTCACTAAAGAAGACTATATTTCCCAAACTAATGAAACCAGGAGTAAGAACAGATCAGGTTCACTAAAGAAGATTTTATTTTCAAACATACTGTTTTTCATTTGCCATAATACAAACCGCATCACAACTTGTGCTATGCAAGGATAAGACTGAATTTCATTTAGGGTGTGAACAAAGTGTAAAACAACACCAAACAAATCATGTTTTGTATTATACCATATCAAATATTTTACATTATACGATATTCAATTAGAACACAGGGTGTGAACAAAGTGTAAAACAACACCAACAAATCATGTTTTGTATTATACCATATCAAATATTTTACATTATATGATATTCAATTAGAACACAGGGTGTGAACAAAGTGTAAAACAACACCAGACAAATCATGTTTTGTATTATACCATATCAAATATTTTACATTATATGATATTCAATTAGAACACAGGGTGTGAACAAAGTGTAAAACAACACCAGACAAATCATGTTTTGTATTATACCATATCAAATATTTTACATTATATGATATTCAATT